ATATGAGAAAAATGCAAATCCCCCACACTAGTTTCAAAAACAACTTTATATCTGAATGGATTACCAATGACCACTTTAGCATAGTGCCAGTGTTTTCCCAAATTACCACTGTACTGCCACATCAATAGACGTTGACTTTGTTCCGTAACCGATTCTGTGTATATCTAAAATATTCAAAAATACTGGCAAATTGTAACATCGCATCCGAAGATGCCAAAAAATTGCTTGGAGGGCCTGGCAAGCACGCACCAACCCAAACAACTTGCCGGGCCCAAGCTATTTTTCTCCGTATCTTTGCGCTGTACATGAAAAACGTTATTACCATTCGATATTTTAGGTTAATCCACCCCTAATTTGCACAATTTTATTGAAACCGTGTGAAGATGTTATATCAATTAAATAACTGTGCATACAACGCATTAAAGGCTAGGCTAAAAGTTGTTGCCATTCAATTCTGAACATTTACTAAATATATGACAGGTTCGTGTATTCAGTCTGATTTTAATACATTAAAGTCTTTAGTTTAACCGGTCGGTTTAAAGCAGTGAAATTAGTGAAAATTCATAACTACAATTTCGAAGCAACAGTTCATTAGTCTAAGATTTACCAAGATAAATAAAAAACAATTATAAATTGTTTGCATTTTCATGGCAAAGATTGATTGAGCGGCGCTTTTTTTATTTTTAGGCTACCATCTTGGTTAGACGCGGAAAAAAATACCGTAAAAATCATGAAAACATTCTCGGACCATATGATCATTACTATAAACTCGTTTGAAAATTCTGATATGACATGGTCACTCAACAGAGATGTTTCATGTATAGTGTCAAAGATTTCATTGTTGTTCAACAACCGTGACACTATATGATAAATAACATTTTCATGGCATGACTGATAGTATATAACTTATTATATAGTACTTACCTTTAGGCTACCCATTCTAGACACCTGACTTTTCGAATACATGTGATACCAAAACCTAATGACACAGACGTCATTGCTTGCTTGAAAGGTGGTATTTGTAGTTATGCGGGCAATATCTCCTGTAATTAATCTAATGTAAAAAAAAGCAGTGACAATGCAGTTGACTATCACAAAACATTTATCCAAATGATTTTTAATTTCTTTTTTTGATTAACGTTGCATGTATTTAGGTGACCAAGAGAGCGCTATCCAAATATAATATCAATCATTTCGCACCGTAATATATCACTGTGGCATTGTGCATATTAATCAGAGATGAGGTGTTCTAACAAGCGCCACGAAGTATTGAAATAAAAAAAAATTATTTTCTATAAAACTTTCCCTGTGTCATTGTTGTAAATGTGTCATTATCTGTCATTATTGTCAATTTGTAATGGCGAAATGTAGGCACTGAAATCATACCATAATCGGTATTTTCCTATGTCTCCACCATGTGATCAACTTCAACAAAAATACTACTCCATCGACCCTTAGTTAGTTTTCACATCCCATTTCATACGGTTCTGTCTTATAACCTTTGAAACTTACTGTTTTTTATGCGTAGTGATAGCTGCAGTGTGGTCTTAATCAGGACCGCTATTATTACTTGGCGTCTCAAAACCTACTGTCCAGTTGAAATTGTCGTCGTTTAGCTGTATATAATCACAGTACGGTTTGTATTCATCAAAATGACAATCACCATCATTGACAACTAAATAAACAAATTGGATATGCAGCGTTAACGCGACCAAGACGTGTCTAGCAGTCATAAATGTTAAACGAATTATACACTTTTTTGGAGGTCTAAAGTTTGAAAATCGCATTTTTGTAGCATGTCGTTGACAACACTAATTCACAAATAATTACGTCGAAGGTTTGTTTGTTTCGATTTATGAATTAAAATATCGCTATACTCAAATTCAGACAAACTGTTTTTGACGAAATGTCGAGTTCGTATCCCACACATTTTTGTCTGCGAGCATATAACATAAATTACAATATGAAGCAATCGGGTAACTTTTGAAAATCAAGATTGAATGTCCTGTCACAATAAATAAACTTACGGTGTTATTGTTTACCGCCAATCATCACAATCGAGACTATAGTCACAATATCTGTCCAGTAACAAACATCGTTTTTTTTTTCTAAACATCGAAACTCATTAGCATTATCACATGGCCTTGTATAGTTTGCTAAGACGTGAATAAAAAAACTGAACAAAATAAACGGCAATATAATGCATGCATAGATATAGGTCAGTGACATAAGAGGTTGAGGGTCTACTTTATAATATTTTTATTATATAATCATTCGATTTCTGTCTCTGAGAGCTATATTATAGTGTACACGCAAATATAAAGAGTATATACGTTGTACGTGTGCGAAAAAATAGGTTTTCCAGAATTTACGAGCGTTACGTGAGCTGTTAAAAGTAACCTGAATTGCTGAATTGGAGCTGGTATATAAAATATCCGCTTTATACTCTATATACTTATAATCAACGTCTATGTTATTACTTTATTACTTACTTACAATCAGAACAACTGTTAACGTTGTATAGCGTCAATGGCGATTAAACCTGCTCTGCACTCCTTCGATAATTATGGAAAATTTGCTTGACGACCGATTATTGCAACCTCACTACGCTCTACACTCCACCCCCCCCCCCCATCGTCTCAGATATCTCAAGCGTTCTGTAGTCTCTTTTATTTGAACTGATAAACTCAATATATGGTCCATATTAAGACTGTCTTGTTTTGTGCTCTGATCCGAATCCGATAACATATATTCAAAATGCAATTAGACGCTGAATTTCATCGGCCAAAGTCTTGTTTCTACTTGCACTACAATCACTTCTGTAAAGCTTGAGATTAATAGGACTAAACTTCTCAAATATAATCGAACAGGAATGAAGAATATGCAATATTTTTCATGAATACGGTTAGTGCCACACAAATAAATGCAAGCTTATTGAAGTTTTAATTATTAATCATATTTATCATTTTTAGAAACACCTTTGTATTCAATCAAGATGTATGCCTGTATCTTGTTACTTACCATCAGTGCTGTTAAATGCTCCGACATATCTGAGAGCTAATTCAGTGTCATCATGTGATCGAACCTAATCAAGACAATGTAAACGTATTGCCAATTTTATAATTCAATGTACATGTGATATTATTTTATTGTTACTGGTATTGTTAATTAAATTATCGTTTTGAAAATGGGCGTCTTTGCTTGCTCATTAGAGTGTAAATATACGAGTGCCCCCCACACGGACAAGACCTTTTCCTCCATGATCGGATCATAAAAATCATACAATGTATCACACAGAAATAAAATAAATAATAAATCTCCAGCTTAGTTCCCTCGAACAATGGTGTATCATTTCACGCAGATTCATTGTTACACTGTAAGTTTATTATGACAACAGATTTAAAAATACCATTTAGAATGTCATTTATCTTCCCAAAATATTAAAAAACACCTTAAAAAAACTACCGTTAACGGTCAAAGAAAAGAAATGTATTGACGAGAAATGTATATACGTTTTTAAATGGGGTGCGTTAACACCCTTGTTGGAATGATCATCCCCTGTACTACACTATTTTTGTAATGTTTTGTATGTCGTGTCTGTAACGTTTTTATTTTTATGTGACTCATTATAATTATTATTAGAAAATAAAAATTTATTAAGAAACAAAATCCTAATATAACATTGAATTTAATCATTGAAGCAACGAGCGACGTCTAATTCCGCCATATTTGTTGCTTTCAATGGGTAATGTGCAAACACAATTTAGGATACCCAGCAACTTCGAGATTATCCCGTTGTTATATAATAAATAATTCTTTTAATCACAGCCAAGTCACACAAATTTGTTCTACCCTGGTTGAACATGCAAGGCGTAGAAGTACGATGTGGTCTGCACAAATTCTAGAATTGTAAAACAATTAATTGTACTACGGTTCGGGAAACCGACTAAGTCGAGGTGGATGCTTTTTTCAATCGGTTTTCGCACCGCATACAAATATTTTAAACACATTGCGATGACGCATTCTTAGTGTGGGCATTATATTGAGCATATACGTTGTAACACGTTTTTTAAATATTAAATGTCGTTATGTCATTATCATATGAATTTCATTTATTTCTCTTTTACTTTAAATAATATTTTTTTTTTTATTGTTTTGTTATGGTTTGTATTATTATGCAATCAGTGACATTAATAAACATATTATAAAGATTTTTGACTTTGATTAAGTTATCAACTGGCTACATAATTTTGACACAATATACCAGACAATGGACTAAACGAGGGAAGGTAGAACTGATTTTTTGCCGTAGTTCATTGTCAAATTCATAGACTTTGAAAATGTATGTATCTAATCTCTTTGCCAAAACGCCCAACAATACAGTGTTTATTTTAATTTATTCACGGGTGTCTTATAAAAGAACCTGGGCTTACCGGTAATACATAATTGTACTTACAAACATAATAACTTTTAGCATAAATATTTTTTTGCTTATCATTTATAGCACATGTAAACATTCCTGACAATTGTTGGCTTGGAGCTTGTATTGTATTACCAAACTCTATAAGACATTTCAAGGCTAGATTAACTTGAAGTTAAAGATTGTATAGTTACTTTCAAGTACAACTAGATATGAGGGCCTTCCTCCAATTTCCAGCTATGCTTAGTAATTTGAAACAGCCTGAATGAGTTTTACGGTTTCTACATAATAAGCTTATGTAATTGTGCGTCTTTTTTACGAATGCTTGACGACTTAGTGAAAGACAGTCTGTTATTGGTATCAATAATTACTATGCGTTTATTCAGTAGTTTATTATACCCAACCATAACCAATCACCATTGTTATTTTCAGTACATTTAAGCCTATAGTAACGTACATTTGCTTCAGCATTGTCGTGAATCAGCGACAAACCTTGAAATTCGACATAATGAATTAATATTAGCTGCATGCAATATTTAGAAAGACATGACAACTTTCAAATTTGTGCTGCCATCCAGGGTAGTAGTAGTAGTGTACGGGTTCACAGGTTAGTGCTCATTTCACTAGAATTGCAACTAAAAAAGAAATGAAAGAGATACCACTGTTACTCCAGGATTCCTTTATGTAAATTTCCAATGAACATATGCTGAAATAAAGGTTCGAATTCTTTTAATTGATGATAATACACGATGGCCAATAAAGTATAAATACCTTGCTGGGACTTCCCAACTGTATCCAAATTTATTGACATCTTCTGTGTACTCCAAAGTACCACCAGGTTGCATCATCTTGAGGTCATTTCCATCGTCACCATCAGCATCGCCAAGCAATCCACACACTTTCCCATGCAAATTTCTTTCAATAGTTGATTGAATGGCACCGTTTCCGTTCCAGCTGATTGTGAACATATCTTGACATTTTACAATCACTCTATTCAGCTTCTCATCCACGTAAATTTCCATTTTGGGTTCCAATTTTAGTGGCATGCGAGATAAGACAGATGTATCATTAACCTGAAAATAAGCGAACAACATGTCAGAAAGGGAAATTGTATATAACACTTAAGCTAGAACATGACAATATGCATCTTATTGGACGGTGAGCAGCCTCTCTGATATACCCTTTACAATGCATATTAAATCTGGATTTATGACATTTTGAGTGAAATCAACAATCCACAAATTGACCCTGGTAGAACTTCTAATGAGCACTATTATCAATTTCTGAAAGATACTATAATAACTAATAGCGATTTTCATTGGTCAGTACAATAAATACCTACATAGTGACAATAAATACCCACATAGTGACAATAAATACCCAAATGCCAGAATTAATATATATGTAGTAGATTGAGTAATCAGAATACATACCTTCACATCAATATTATTCAGGTCGATGACTGTGTGAAATATATGAATCGTCAATGCGTTAACAAAAGCTTTGTGGTGACCTTTACTGTCTATTCCAGGTACATGATGAGCGATAACGAAAAATGTTGGATTCTTCACACAATCTTGGAATAACACATAGGAGCATGGGCCATGGAAATGAAAAACCAGTCCGTCAAATGTTCTATAATGTGGGTCTCCATATGTAACTCCATTGCCTGTAAATACAGTTTGATGATAAATATGGAACAATGAGGGGGACGAATCAATTACAAATCTATCGGTGGTAAGTAAGGAAATTTAACAAACTAGACAAGGTACAAGATTGAAATATAATAAATATGAACACTACTAAAATATGTGTTATACTGATAAACATATATCATTTATATGTATTATAATGTATTATTATATATGTACTGCAGTTTATTTCGATTCATTCCTGAAATCAAAATCGGTATTTCCATGGTACCTTTAGGCAGTCGCTTATTTTGACTAAAACTAATTTGCATATCACCCATGCAATAATGATCTCGTTTTTCTCACAGTCGATATGCAAATGAACATGTTTTTTTCTATTGGCAACATAACTATTTTTATTATGTGAATACATTTTCGTCTGCTATTTTTATCCGGTTCATATCGTTCAGCGACATGTTTGGCATATAGGTGTACATCACATGGAATACTACGAGTCGGCGTACTTAACGTATGTTGACCACCTGAAAACTGGGCTTTGTAAACCCTGAAGGGCTCTCGGAAGATCAACCCGCAGTAAAATCAGCGATTTCTATGGAGCCGCGACCATCAACATCAAGGTACAAGGAGGTTTCTGCTGGCGACGTTGCGGCGTTACTCAGTTACAAATAAAGATTTACCAACGCCAAACGAGAAAAGTTTTAGCCGGTAACCAAGACTCATTCAATCCATGACAATTAAGCAACACCACAAACGAAGTTGTAGGGTGCAGCTCAGCGACGACCGCTGTCGACGAAAGTCATCCCGTGCCAATGCACAATTCTGCGGAGAAACTTCTACTTATAACTTCAACATAAACTGTGTATCACAGACGTTCAGTTCAAGTTCTGGTTCTACTTCTAGTTCTGTCGTGGCCCCAACTAATTCGGATAGTGACTCAGATTAGACGTCTATTTTTTTCATTTTCACACAGACATGGAGACGCGTTCTACACTGCCACGCGTTGCTAGGGCGTAACACTATCTTGGAAGATGTGGTGCTTCGCTCGTGAAAGTACGGCCGCAGGATACACCGCATCACTCGTGAAAATAACTTTGATACGCATCGAAAGCCACGGAGAGTGTGTGGAGTTCTGTCATATAAATGGGTAATGATCTCATTTCAATTCATTTAGTTGTCCAAAATACTTCACACAGATTATGTCTATGGTCACTATCATGACATTGTGTATATTTTTAGTATATATCACAATACAGAAACAATGTGAGCTATATTGTAATAAATCTTACCTCCGTGTCCTTGTGTATTTAATAAAAGAAAAAAAAATACTGTAAATATATTTTGAACCAAGTATCATATATACTTTCCTATATAGCAGAATTAAAAAAAAAATCGTTGAGCCAAATACAATTTGCCTTCAAGAGAATAATTCTAAAAATAGCGCTGTTTGAGTATGAATATGATATTTTATTAGCGACAGGCATATGTCATTGCTTTAATGAAAAAAACATGCATCCTGAAACTTGAAAATAATACTAGCCTCGCTTAACACAGCACGTCTTTTTTGCAGGACAGAAGCAATGGGCAGGTGTAAAAAATAGCGGTAATCCATCTTCGTTTGTTGTAGTAGGACACGCAGTTTCGCAAGTGCCACCACATAGTTCTTCGCATGCAACTGTGTTATTAGGAATGAAATAGTATGAATAGATGAACACATTACGTTCTATTAGCAAAAACATTGATGAAGAACAATGCGAATAATAATCATAGAACAAAATAATAATCATATAAAAAATATGTTTCTGCATAATATAGTCCTTTTTTCTTTAAACTATGAAGGAAATTGAACAATAGGTACAACATTAGTACCTAATAAACAATACAGGCGAACATCAAAACATGCAATATATGGGATTCGAACGCAGGACCACGACAACAGTGCGATGCTACTTGAAATGTTCATTACATGTTCCATTAAAAGGTCTCTAAAAGTGTCGCTCCCTTTTACAATAGTTTAGTGTCGCTCTCTTTTGCAATAGGTTCTGTGCGATGGCATCCCTTTTTGAAACTTGACCTAAAACATTTTAGAATTTTTTGGGGCAACTACCTTCCTCAATTTTGGTTTTCAACTGCGATTTTTTTTTACTTTTTCCTTCTTTCATTTGTTTTTTTATTTATGTAGCACTGAGCCAAATTGGTATATTTGATGTGTACTTACGCACATGGTCTGACAAATGCCGAATATTTCAGCAAAACACGTTTTAGCCAGAGTTGGTAGTGTTGTCTTTATTCTGACTTTCTGACGTTGTTGGTCATTTTGATTGTGAATGAATAATGTATTCTTAAATTTTGGCCAGCTTAGCACTCATGCTCGGTAAGTGCCCACTCCCGCTAAAACACATTATTTAGGAGCTGAGTGCTCTGGGCACCGAGTCGGACGAATACGGTAAATTAAAAGCACAAAATGGCCGCCATTTGAGATTATAACTCAATAACAATAGAAAATGTTCAGCTATTTAGATTGTTAAATAATCACTTATATTGGTTTATAAATATTACTTTAGTTTATATATCTGACAACAGTATAAATAATTCAATGACAAAATTGAGTCTCAAAGTTGCTGTCTACTATTAGTCACTGCGTTTCTCATTGAGACTTCTCAATTGCATACAAATATGTTTTGAGGCGCAGGTAAAAACATGGTATGGAACCCTGACATGGCTTTGAAGAACACATTTCTGGTTTGAATTTCTTGTTATTAACTTACTAAATCTCAAATAAACTGTTTGTAAAATTCATTAAACAAGTAAACTTTGCCGGAATATTATGCTGAAATATTAGTATAATGAGAACTCCCCCATTTATAGTTATTC